TCCTGGGCCAGAGGTAGCAATCGGAGGGGTCTGGGGGTCCCCTGCCCAGGCCTGACGCCTGGGCCAGAGGCATCAGGCCTGGGCTGGGGGCAGAACCAGCAATTGGAGGGGTCTGGGGGTCCCCTGCCCAGGCCTGACGATTGGAGGGTGATGGGGGTCAACACCTGAGGGCTCCCAGTATGTGAGAGGGGGCAGGCTGGGCTGTGGGACACTCCCCCTCACCCCCTAGATCCAGTGCACGAATTTCGTGCACTGGGCCCCTAGTAATTTTAATAATAGGAGTGTGTACACAGTCTATGGACGAGAGTGTCACAGACCCCACTTTTGACCGATTTAAATCGCAGCTAGGTTTGTGGATGTAACATTTCTGGCTTTAAATACATGAGAGCTTAGGAGTTGGTGGTTGTGACAACTGAGCCTTGCAGTTGATGACAATATTAAAGGTGGACTTCATTGGAGTTGCATCATGCATGAAGGTTAGGTGCTGTAGTCAGCATGGGAGTCAAAACATCCAGATTTCCCTTGGGAAGTCCTTAAAGGCACCATGTTGAAGGATTTCTCACGATACAGCAGTTCTGACATGTCTAATTTTTCTGCCAGGGTTAAATATCACTTTGCCTTTGGTTAAAGAACAGGTGAAGCAATTTATATCAATTTAGCGGTCATGCTATACAAAAAATGTGTCTGGAGTGTAGATATCAAATGACTCTTTACACATTTTAATTGTTCTTTAATAAGTGTTGGGAAACAGCCTAAGTGCCCATTAGTAGATGAATGGATTAGAAAACTGTGGTACATCTACACGATGGAATACTATGCTGCTCTAAAAAGGAAGGAACTCTTACCATTTGCAACATCATGGATGGAACTGGAGAGCATTATGCTAAGTGAAATAAGCCAGTCAATGAAGGAAAAATACCACATGATCTCACTCATTCATGGATAATTGAGACCATTATAAACTTTTGAACAATAATAGATACCGAGGCAGAGCTGCCTCAAACAGAGTGTCAAACTGCAGCAGGAAGGCCGGGGAGGGTTCGGGGGCAGGAGGGAGGGGGGTAAGAGATAAACCAAAGGACTTGTATGCATGCATATAAGCATAACCAATGGACATAAGACACTGGGGGAGAGGGGAGGCTAGGGGACTGTCTTGGCGGGGGAAAAAATGGACACATATGTAATACCCTTTGTAATAAATAATAAAATTAAAAAATAAAAAAAAATAAAAAATAAGTGTTGGGAGATATATCTTGGGTTTTCATAATAATCATGTATAATCTTTATGCTGGTACTTATTGAGTCGAGAGAGAAATCATTATGCATGTTCAAAGAATTATATTTTTGTGCTAAATTTAGTTTTTTTCTTTAGATAAATCTGTTTTGGAGTCACTTTATGGCTTATGCTTTTTCATGTGTAATATTTTTATTTTTTAATTTGAAAACTTAGTTAAATTTTATTTTACTGTTTAAAGTATTACAAATAGTAGTACATATGTCTCCTTTTTTTCCCCATTGACTTCCCCTCGGCCTCCCTTACCCCACCCCCCAACACACACATGCCCTGCCTTCCCGCTGTACTTTGAGAGTTTGTTTGATGCTTCTTTGCCTCTGTATCTATTTTTGTTCATCAGTTTATAATGTTCCTTATATTCCACAAATGAGTGAGATCATGTGGTATTTATCTTCCACTGACTGGCTTATTTCACTTAGCATAATGCTCTCCAGTTCCATCCATGCAGTTGCAAATGGTGTAATATTTTTATAGTAATTATGCATTGTAAGTGTAATTATAACTGTCCATTAAACTTCAGAGTTGATCATGACTGCTTAATTTTATTTTTTATTTTATTTTTTATTTTTTTTACAGATGTTCCTTGTATTTTTAGTGGTGACCAGATTGGGATGTTGGATCCTCATCAAACACTTTTTGGTCCGCACGAATCAGGTCAATGTTGGAATCTCAAAGATGACAGCGAAGAAATTAGTGAACTTTCAGACCAGTTTGCGCCATTTATTGGCATTTTTGGAAGCTCCAAGGAAACATTTATAAACGGCCATTTTCCAGGAACATTTTTCCGTTTTCCTCTTCGCCTACAACCTTCTCAGCTTAGTAATAACCTCTACAATAAGCAAAAGGTTCTTGAGTTGTTTGAATCTTTTAGAGCAGATGCAGACACAGTGCTGCTGTTTCTAAAAAGTGTGCAGGATGTCTCCTTACATGTCCGAGAGGCTGATGGAACAGAGAAACTAGTGTTTAAAGTGACTGCTAGTGAGAATAAGGCCCTGAAACAGGAACGGCCAAATTCTGTCAAGATTCTGGAAACTGCTATAAGTAACTATTGTAAAAAGATTCCAAGCAATAGCATAACCTGTGTAACATATCATATAAATATAGTTTTAGAAGACGAGAGTACGAAGGACACACAAAAGACATCTTGGTTGGTGTGTAACAGTGTGGGTGGGCGAGGAATGAGTAGTAAACTTGATTCTTTAGCTGATGAATTGAAATTCGTCCCAACCATTGGAATAGCTATGTCTTTATCAAATAGAGATGATAAAGAAAAAGGAGCAACATCTGATTTCTCAGGAAAAGCATTTTGTTTTCTTCCCTTGCCTCCTGGCGAGGAGAGTAAAACAGGCCTTCCAGTTCACATCAGTGGGTTCTTTGGCCTGACTGACAATCGCAGAAGCATAAAATGGAGAGAGTTGGACCAGTGGAGAGATCCAGCTGCCTTATGGAATGAATTTCTGATCATGAATGTTGTCCCTAAAGCCTATGCTACTCTGATCTTAGATTCTATAAAACGCCTGGAGTCAAAGAAGAGCTCCGACTTGCCCTTGTCAGTTGACATAATCTATAAGCTTTGGCCTGATGTGAACAAAGTCAAGATGCACTGGCAACCGGTATTAGAGCCTCTATTCAGCGAGCTGTTCCAGAATGCAGTTATTTATTCTATTAGCAATCACTGGGTCAAGTTGGAGCAGGCTTACTTCTCAGAACTTGATGAAAGTTTGGAACACACAAAGACTGTGCTCAACTACCTCCATAGCTCAGGAAAGCAGATTGTCAAGGTACCAGCGAATCTGGCTGCAGCCGTGCAGCTCACTGTCTCCAGTGAGAAACCTGTGCGGAAGGTGACACCTGCATGGGTGCGGCAGGTGCTGAGGAAGTCTGTACACCTGGGTAGTGCTGAAGAAAAGCTTCACCTCTTAGAATTCGTGCTGTCTGACCAAGCTTATAGTGAACTGCTTGGGTTGGAGCTGCTACCTTTACAAAATGGAAATTTTATTCCCTTCTCCTCATCTGTATCAGATCAAGATGTTATTTATATTACCTCAGAAGACTATCCAAGGTATAGACCACACTTTTAAAAATATGGATTTACTCTTACAGACTCTTGCCTCTGCCCACATTTACAGTCCTTTATTATGAAATTCATCAATTATCGATGTAGATTTTTATAATAAGGAAGACTTTTGCAGAAATATAATACTTTTTCAATATGAATGGATACATTTTTACATCCTAAAGTGAAAATATTCACGTTTATCAGTTAAGTTATCCGAGCCCTGGCCAGGTAGCTCAGTTGGTTAGAGCATCATCCCCATATGCCAAGGTTGTGTGTTTGATCCCTGGTCAGGGCACATGCAAGAATCAACCAATGAATGCATAAATAAGTGTAACAACAAATAGATGTTATTTTCCCCCACACCTTCCTCTCTCCCTAAAATCAAGTTTAAAAAAAGTTCTCCTAGCAATTGTTTGGGTTTTTTTGGAAATTTTAATAACAAAATACTGAAAACAATGGTTATTAAGTGCAAATAATAACTAAGATTTGTCAATGATATGAAATTTAAATGAATTAAAATACAGTTAAGTAATTCTTTATAGCTAAGGTTGTATATTGGCATTTCAGAAGATAAAATTAATTTTATTCTGAAATGTTTATAGAGTATTTCTGGATATGCATGTGGTGCATGATGCCCTCATGGTTTAAAGTGAAGGCTCATTAATATTTGATCAAGAAATATTGTTGTGTGATTTGATGTGTGTGTTCATTTATATAAAATAGTACATTTAATTGGCTTGACATTATTTAATTATTTTATTTTAGAAGTGTTAGAAGATTATAATTGCTGTGGTCCTTTCACTTTTTAGGTCGCTTTTCCCAGGCCTTGAAGGAAGATTTATTTTGGATAACTTGAAGCCTCACCTTCTAGCTGCTTTAAAGGAAGCTGCCCAAACCCGAGGTATTATAGTTTAGCTTTTTAAAAATAAACCTATTTATTAAAAAATAAAGTTTTTATAAGTTTTCTATTAAGTTGAACCAATATGAAATTGCCAATGGTTTTCTGTTTTAGTCCTATAAGTCAACAATTTCATATGGTTCAACCTAATATAATTGTTATATTTTAAGATGTTTCAATACTGGTTCTGACATCTGAAATAATCCAAAGTTGTATTTAAGATTCTCTCCTGCCTGGCTGGCGTGGCTTCATGGTTGAGCATCAGCCCATGAACCAGGAGGTCACAGTTCGATTTCTGGTCAGGGCATATGCCCAGGTTTCCCCAGTAGGGGATGTGCAGGAGGCAGCCGATCAATGATTCTCTCTCATCACTGATGTTCCTATCTCTCTCTCCCTCTCCCTTCCTCTCTGAAATTAATAAAAAATATACTTTTTTTGGAAAAAAAAAGAAACTCTCCTGTCACATTATGGGGTGTACATTGATGGAAATAATATCTTATGCCTGCATAGAACTTTACTTTCCATCCTTCCTCATTTCTTTCCTCCTTTGAGCCCTTGACCTCATACCTTGTAGTGTGTGCAGTAATGAGGACAGCTGTTGTCTCAGATTGCGCAGATGAGGAGAGAAGGTGGTTAAGTTCAGGGTCTTCAGCTCATGGGTACCTTGTCAGTCATGTTCTGTTGCCCATACCACTTTGCCTTACACAGTTTTGTGCAGTTGTGCTGGGTCATTTCAGGGAAATGCAGATAGATAAAATGAACTCAGGAAAAGGGACTCCTTGGGCTCTAGCAAAGGATGGGTACCCTTTATTAAGAATTCTTTTTAGGAAAAGATAGAATAGTTTTTTGGGGAAATTATCATGGTTTTAAGTTTGATATTATCTTGCAACTTTTGCAAGCATCCTTTCCCTTCTAAAACTATTGCCTAAACGTTTTCTAAGTTAGATATTGTCTTGAAAATTCTGGTTTTACTTCACTTGTTAAGGTTGTAAAGCATATTATTTGTGATGTGTCTTTTATAGCATATGCTATTTTCAAAGGTAATGACAGAAGGAAAAGTTGTAATGATTGTACAGCTTAATTCATTTAAATATAAACTAAAGGAATTGGAATGGGGGAGGCAAATTAAGGATGGAGTCAAAGTGAGACTAAAGGAAAATGAATATGTAAATACTATTTACCATAAGGAATCTGTAACTATAAGGTAGTGATAGTGACATTGATGGGAATTGTCATCTTCAAGTAGCTTTTTTGGGAATCTGAATATGCATTCCTATAACCCTGCCATTGTTAGCTCCAAAGTTTTACCAATTGTTATTTTTCAAATTCGTTACTATATTCTGGTATAAAAACGTTACATTGAAATATAATATGAATACAAAAAGGTATGCATATTATAAATGTAAGCTTAATGAAATTTTGCAAACTGAAAACACCTAGACAAAAAAACAAACAAGATCGCCAACACCCAGAAACTCCTTCCATGCCTTTTTCAGTCCTGCTTACTCAGGGGTAACTATGATCCTGACTTTTAATAGCACTGACTAAATTCAGTTAGTTATTTGTTCTATCTATAAAAAGAATCAAACAGTATGTACTCTTTGTGTCTGCTTCTATTACTTTAATATTTGTAATGTCATCAAGGTTTTTGCATGGAGTTGTAGATCTTTTTATATTATTGCTGTGGTATTTCATTGTCCGATGTATTACCTTCTTTTGAAGAGAATATTTTCGTTAATGGCCAATAGTTTCTGAGGTGGATATGAATTTAGAAATCTGCCAAAAGTTATTCAGAACTAGTCAGGTAGAAAGGGTACAAGGCCAATAGAATAATACTGTGCTTTTACTCAAAGATTTTTAAATACGCTGTTGCACAGGGAATGGCAACAACTTGCTTTTCTAGCTTTAGGTGGATGGGGTACCTGTTGTTATGAGTTAAAATATATATACTAATTTAGGTAATTTGACATCTTTACAGAATTGAGTCTTCTCACTTTGTATGTCTTCATTTTCTCATCTAGTATGGATTCCGATTTGCTATTTTGGGATTATTTCGTTTGCAGTATATTTTGTCTCTGGCTTTTGGTTAATGTTCTTTGGACTATTACACTAGATGGGATGTCTTCACTGTTTTGTTTGTTATCCATAATGTGTGACTTGGTTCTCCCAGGAATTGTCTTCATGTTCACTTTTTTTAAACCTTGATTTAAGTGTTAGGCTACCATTCTTATTGTTATTTAATAATCTTTTTCAGTATTTTTATTTGGCTATATGGGTGATGGGTAACTGTGTCCTGGGCATCTTCCTTCCTTGTTACAGTGGGGCCTTGACTTACGAGTGTCCCGACTAACGAGTTTTTCGAGATATGAGCTGTCTCTTGGCCGATTTTTGCTTTGAGTTGCGTGCTAAAATTTGGGTTACAAGCCAGCTTCAGATACCCCACCGCTAGGTGGCGCAGTGAACGTCACAGTGAACACCACAACATCAGCCCAGCATCACCTGTCTCACTCGTTCACTTTAAGATTTGACATACGAGTAATTTGAGTTACAAGCTCCGTCACGGAACAAATTAAACTTGTAAGTCAAGACCCCACTGTATTTTTATATCATTAGTTCAAAAAAAAATTAAATTTTGTTTCAGACAAAAATTACTTTATTGCCATGAACAATTTTAATATTTGTGAGCACTATAATATAGGGGCTGATGGGGACCCCCAAAATGGCCCTGGCTTTTTCTTTTTTGAGATCTGAGTTAATAAAGATACACAGAAAGGGGTCCAGCAGATAGATGCAAAAATCACCTGTTCTGTGTTACTGATAATTCCGGTGTTGGAGATCATGACTCACGTCAGACAGTGGACTTCTGTAATTCATCTCCAGAATTAAACTGGTAAGCACAGCCATCTAGTCTCAGGCAGCACTGGAATACCACAGGCTTTTTTACGGAGGAGCTGCCCTCAAACTTTTTAAACAGGGGGCCAGTTCACTGTCCCTCAGGCCGTTGGAGGGTCAGACTATAGTTTAAAAAAAAACTATGAACAAATTCCTATGCACACTGCACATATCTTATTTTGAAGTAAAAAAACAAAATGGGAACAAATACAATATTTGTATTTGCATGTGGCCCGTGGGCCGTAGTTTGAGGACCCCTGCTCTAGAGACTTCTGAGCAGGCACAGATTCTATATACCTGTCATGCCACTTGCTGGAGTGGTGCAGAAGGAGGGATTAGTAAATGTGGGAGAGGGAAGCTAAGAGTATTATATTTATGGAGCTCCCTTCATATGGTAGGAAACATCACAAATATTTTTTGCTGTAATGATTATGCAGTTATTTTGTTGACACAAAGCACTGTGGACTTCTCTTTACTGATTATCAGTAAAAACTAGCCAGTTTTGAAAGTAGTGCTGCATAAAATTAAGACCTGTTTTTTCCTCTGCAATAGGTACTTCTCTAATTCTATAGCTCAAAAAAAAATCAGCCTCATTATTTGATAGTTTTACCTTTTACTTGTATCACATTTAAAATCGTAAGCTAAATATTAAGTTATTGCTGGTATTTTTACCCAAACTCTACTGCTTCTTTCCCTTTAGCAATTAAGTAAGCATGTTTCAGTCTTTCTCATTTTGGGGAAAACAAAACAAACCTTGACTTTGATTTCCTTTCTTACATTCTGTCATAGTCCAGCTTCTAGAACAGTGGTTCTCAACCTTGGCTGCACATTAGAATCACCTGGGAATCTTTTTAAAATCCTGATTTCTGGGCCTCATCCTCCAGAAATTCTGTTTCTTTGTTACTAATGTTGTGGCTCCACTCCATAACAAAGAAACAGAATTTCCAGAGGATGGGACCCAGAAAACAGGATTTTAAAAAGATTCCCAGGTGATTCTAATGTGAAGCCAAGGTTGAGATCCACTGCTCTAGAAGGAGTAGTGTATGCTTATAGTCTATGTCAGTGATGGCAAACCTATAACACGCGTGTCAGAGGTGACATGCGAACTCATTTTTTTGGTTGATTTTTCTTTGTTAAATGGCATTTAAATATATAAAATAAATATCAGAAATACAAGTCTTTGTTTTACTATGGTTGCAAATATCATCAAATTTCTGTATGTGACATGGCACTAGAGTTAATTTTGGGTTTTTCAAAATGCTGACACGCCGAGCTCAAAAGGTTCGCCATCACTGGTCTATGTAGTAGTCTCCTTTATCCATGGTTTTGCTTCCCACGGTTTCAGTTGCCTATGGTTCAGTAGCCACCTCAGTTATCAGATAGTAGATTATCACAGTGCTGTATTCAAGTAACCCTTATTCTGCTTTATAATGGCCCAAAGCACAAGAGTAGTGATGGTGTCAAGTCAGGTATGCCAAAGAGAGGGCATAAAATGCTTCTTTTAAGTGAAAAGGGCATGTACGCATAGGAAATTATATATATATAGTTCAGGACTATTCACGGTTTCAGTCCTCCACTGGGGTCTTGGAATAAATTCCTACAGATAAGGGGGACTGATGCACTTCTTCATCAGACATTATCACTACAAACAAACTTTTCTATTATCATTCCAATAAAATTGCCTGGCTGAGGTCACCAAGGAATGGTTGTTGTTTTTCATTATTACATCTAATGGGATTTTTTTTTTTTTGGTTCTTTTTTCCTGATCTCCCTGAAGCTCATCTTACTTGGTATCCTATACTTCTTTGCCTGCTTTTTAGAATTATATTATTAATTATATTCAGTTTACCCCCTAAATATGGGTTAGTTTAGAAACTCCTTGCTCAGCTCTTTTATTTTGTTCCTCACTTTCTTTGAGTATACTCACTGCCTCCCAGGCATCTACTATTATGCATGTATGATCACCTCCAGATCTTCTGTCGCCACTCCAGTCTCAGGCCAAGTAGTGTATAGGGTTATAAGCCTAGACTTTTTAGTCACAAAAATCTGGGCTCAAACTTGACGCCTCTATTGTGTTACTGAAAAATTACCCAACCTCTCTGAGGCTGCTT